AAACATTCTCTTATTATGAATTTAGTATTCATCTTACAACATGCCAAATTGGTTTAGTAGTCTCTAATATTAACTAATAATTACCCACTTTATTGATAATGCCACATGTCTCAGAACAGTTCCTTTTACACTCACCACCTTTTGTATTTTTTCCTGTACTTTAATTTTACATATATTTAAAACTTTACAGAGCATCATAAGACCTTTTTTTGTCATGTACCATGTCTAGCATGCTTTTTATCTGTATGGGGGATGCAGGTGGAGGAGGGGGGGGGCTTCAAAAAGTTCATGGAAAATGGATTTAAAAGATATTCAAATTATCTTTCTGTTTTTGTTTTGTTTTTAGATCTCAGACTTCTGATGAAATTCTTCATCTTGACATGGGTTTTCTTGCACATTTTAATCGCAGTTATTTGACAGATCATGTCTGATAACTAATACTTGGGTTTGCTGTAGCTCTGTCTTCTGCCCGCTTGGTTCAGTTTCTACCTAGGTATAGTAATAGTTGAGAAGTGGGACAAAAGGCAGTTTCTCCTCCCTAGTCTCATATCAGTAATCAGCAAATCCTCCAAGAGATGAAAGCATGTGCACAACACTGGGTTCCTCTTAGTGAGCATCCCTTCTCTCAGGGCTTTGGTAGCTTTGGCAGCTATTCCATCCACACAATGACTTTAAAATGATATTTTATCTAGCCATTATGGACGGTCTCATCAGGACCACTGATATGCTACAATAAGCGGAAATCTGCTCTTCTCTACTCATTTTAAGTTTTTCTTCATGGCCAACAAGCCATAAAATAGGTACGTTCTCCTTCGTCACAATCCTAAAACACTGTCAGATATTTCCTTCTTGTAAGGAAACTGCTTAGTATAACCACATCAAACCTAAATCGTGACTGTGAATGAGAAATGCCTTTACTGGCTAGTTTAAAGGGACAAGGTGTTTTTAAATTTTGAGTGAACACAAATAGTACACAGACTTTGGATTCAACTGCAAAGGTTAACTATTGTATTTTACATACACTTATACTTTAATGTCCACCACTCATCTGTCAGTTTGTCCCACTGTGGTGGCTTGCATGTTGTTGTGATGCTGGAAGCTACGCCACTGGTATATTTTAATGCTGGTAGGGTTGCCCATGGTGGGTAGGTTTCAGCTGAGCTTCCAGACTACTACAGACTCGAAACAGAGAGGCAGACCACTTCCAAATGTTTAGCCACTGAAAACCTTCTGAAGAGCAGTGAAACACTGTCACATAGTACCAGAACACTGAATACTGAAACACGAAGAATGGCACCAGAATACTGTCAGATATAGTGCCAGAAAATGAGCCCCTCAGGTGGGAAGGCACTCCAAATATGACTGGGAAGAACTGCCTCCTCAAAGTAGAGTTGACCAAGATGATGCAAATGGAGTAAAATTTGGGGGCTTCATTTGCTGATGGGGCACACAATTCAAATTGAGGAGAAACAGCTTCAAATATCCATTAATAATTTAAACATGGGCTGTACGAAGTATGAATCTAGGAAAATTGGAAGTTGCAAAAAAAAAAAATGAGATGGAACACATAAACATCGATACCCTAGGCATTAGTGAGCTGCAATGGACTGGTATTGGCAATTTTGAACTTGACAATCACATGATTTACTATGCTGGGAATGAAACTGCAGGGGAATGGTGTCATAGTCATCATCAAAAAGAGCATTTCAAGATCTGTCTTGAACTATAATGCTATCTGTGATAGGATAATATCCATACAGCTACAAGGAAGAGTAGTTAATACTATTATTATTCAAATTTATGCATCAACAACTAAAGCCCATGATGATAAAACTGAGGAGTTATACCAGCTTGTTCAGTTTGAAACTGATCAAACATGCAAACAAGATGTATTGATAATTACTGGTGATTGGAATGCAAAGGTTGGAAACAAAAAGGGAGCAGTAGTTGGAAAATATGGCCTGGGTGACAGAAATGATGCACATGAACTTCACCAGATGGACTATACAAAAGTCAAACTAACTAAATCTGTGGAAAGAGGTGATGGAAAAGTTCTGTATCATCAGCCAAATAAGGCCAGGGGCAGACTGTACAATAGACCCT